CTAACAAAGAGTTAGATTCTAATCAAGGGAATTCGGGAAACGGGCAGAGGGGCCTGCCCCAGGCCCAGACAATAAGTGGGGCATCTTCCCTGAACCCGTTCATTCCTTTTGTCCCGTCTTAGAACTTTTCAAAGTCACTCCAGGGAGCGCAGGATTGGACCTACGTTCCTCCACCTCAGCAATATTAACACCAGATGTGGCTGTTACCCCTATACTCACCGGAGTAAAAGGACCTTTGCCCAAAGGCATAGTGGGAATCATTTGGGGTCAAAGCTCTATGGCCTTACAAGGGCTGTCAATTATTCCAGGAGTGATTGATTCAGATTACACTGGAGAACTCCAGGTACTCGTTTCTCCTCCAACAAGAACTGCTCAAATAGAGAAAGGACAAAGAATAGCACAATCATTATTATTGCCTTACCATGAGACAGGAAAAGTAGCCTCTCAACAAGATAGAGGTCCAAAGTGATTTGGGTCTAGTGATTTGGTTTTTTGGATCCAAGAGGTCACAGCTTTGCGACCTCTTAAGGAATTATTAATTCAAGGGGAAAAAATTACAGGTTTGCTCGATACAGGCGCAGATGTGTCTTGTATTGCAGGAAATGATTAGCCTTCTGAGTGGCCCACTAAAGCTGCTCCTGTAGGACTTATAGGTATAGGAAGAGCTCCTTCTATTGCTAAAAGCACACAAATTTTGCCATGGGCTAACAAGGAGGGTCAATCTGGAGTTTTTTGTCCTTATGTAATTCCCACTATCCCTATAACGCTATGGGGACAGGACATATTATCCCACATGGGGATGCTGCTATATAGTCCAGATGACAAGGTGCCTGCACAGATGCTACAGATGCATTTTGATCCAGATAAAGGACTGGGAAAACACAATCAGGACATTAAAGAACCTATACAGACAATATCTAATGTTAAAAGACAGGGACTTGGATATCAAAATTTTTAATGGAGGCCATTGCTGAAAGAGCTGCTGATCCCATTAATTGGATAAATGACAATCCAGTTTGGGTGGAACAATGGTCTCTACCCTTAGAAAAGTTACAGGCAGCAAAAGAGTTAATACAGCAACAGTTAGAAGCAGGGCATATAGAACCCTCCAATAGTCCATGGAACACACCTATTTTTGTCATTAAAAAAAAATCAGGAAAATGGAGATTATTACAAGACTTAAGGGCAGTAAATGCTACTATGGAGGATATGGGTTCTCTTCAACTAGGCAACCCTTCTCCTGTGGCAGTACCCTCCACTCACAACATAATTGTTATTGATCTGCAGGATTGTTTTCTTCACCATTCCTTTAAGTCCTTAAGTCCTTTAAGTCCACCATTCCTTTAAGCAAGCACTTTGCTTTCAGTCTGCCATCAGATAATCTTAAGCAGCCTTATCAAAGATATCAATGGAGGGTGTTGCCACAGGGTATGAAAAACAGTCCTACCTTATGTCAAAAATACATTGATCAAGCTTTAACAGAAATAAGAGACCTTTATCCTGACCTTTATTTGGTCCATTATATGGATGACATATTAATCGCTCATCTGGACCACACACTTTTACAAGAAGTGTTAATCAAAACCACCTCCACCCTGTCGTCTCATGGGTTAAAGGTGGCACCAGAAAAAATCCATACATACTTGGGACGGATATTAAACACACATACAGTTTCACCTCAATCTTTGCAACTTAGAAAGGACAATTTACAAACTTTAAATGATTTCCAAAAACAATTAGGAGATATTAATTGGATTAGGCCATTTTTTAAGATTCCCACTGCCGATTTAAAACCATTATTTGATTTATTACAGGGAGACTCTAATCCTTTATCTAAAAGAACTTTAACTCCTGAGGCCTCCGAAGCCTTGAATATGGTAGAATAAGCCATCAATAAGTAGATTTTAAGGTGAATCAACTATAATTTACCTTGGTCTCTAATAATTCTGGCCACAATATATACTCCAACAGGCTGACTATGGCAGGAGTGGTCACTTGAATGGTTACATATGCCAGCTACTGGAAAGAAAATATTAACAGCATCCATTGATTTGACTGCCAGCTTAATAACTAAGGACAGAAGAAGAAGCATGGAGATCTTTGGTAGGGATGTTCATAATATTATTCCTTATAACAAAAACCAATTACAAGATTTAATAGAATCCAATGAAAATTGGCAAATAGCTCTGAGTGATTTTAGAGGCGAAATACTGTTTCATTTGCCAAAAAATCCTATATTACAATTCCTTTGTGAACATCCTGTTATATTTCCAGAGAAATGTAAATCATCTCCTATTCCTAATGCATCTCTGGTATTTACTGATGGTTCATCCAATGGAAAAGCTATGGCTATTATTGACTATCACCCACATATACAAGAGACTCAGGAAACTTCAGCTCAAAAGGCAGAAATAATGGCAATCCTGTTTGTTTTTTCCACACTAACTGAACAAAGTTTTAATCTTTATACAGATTCTCAATATGTGGTTAAGCTCTTTCCCCATATAGAAACTGCTACAATAGCTATTAATAAAACTACTATTTCTAGATACTTATTGGAATTACAAAATTTGATTCATGAAAGAAGAGATCCTTTTTACATAGGTCACATCAGGGCTCACAGTAATTTGACAGGGCCCTTACATGAGGGAAATGTATTGGCTGATAAGTACACAAAGTTTGTTCTGGGAACAGCAATAGAGGATGCTCAGAGAGCTCATAAAATTCATCATCAAAATGCTGCTGCCTTACGATATCAATTTCAGATTACCAGAGAAGCTGCTAGACAGATAGTAAGAGATTGTCCTACTTGTCCTATGCATGTCAGTGCACAATCTGTGGGAGTTAATCCCTGAGGCCTACGACCTAATGATTCATGGCAGATGGATGTAACTCACATTTCCAGCTTTGGGAAACTTTCCTATGTACATGTTACTACAGATACTTACTCCCATTAACTCTAGCCTCAGCCAGAATTGGAGAAGCCCACAAAGATGTCATTCAGCACCTGTTCTATTGTTTTTCTTATTTAGGTATGCCACTTCATTTAAAAACTGATAATGCACCTACCTATACTTCAAAAGCTTTTAAGCAATTCTCCAACACCTTCAACATTAAACATACTACAGGAATTCCTTATAATCCTCAGGGACAAGCTATTGTAGAAAGAGCCCATCAGACTTTAAAACATCAAACTACCAAACTGCAAGAAGGAGAGCTTAAGTATAGCTCCCCTCATCATATTTTGAGCCATGCCATGTTTGTTATTAATAATTTTAATGTGGATACTGCGGGCATTTCTGCCACGCAGTGTCACTGGAACCCTGATCTTGATGCTCCTAAACCATTGGCAAAATGGAAGGATCTTCTTACAGGAACATGGAAAGGGCCTGATGTTTTACTAACTTGTGGGAGAGGATATGCTTGTGTTTTCCCACAGGATTCAGATTCTCCTTTGTGGATTCCGGACAGACTCATTAGACATGTTCAACCCGCCACCACCTCCTCCATCTTTCCACACATCGACTCAACACAAGAGACGTCTATCGGAGGAGAGCCGAGGAGGACCACTGACATATCGCATGAGAGAACTTCACCTTCAAGACGACTGGCAACCGCTGAGACCAACCCCGATGCCACGGCACAGACTGACCCAAGCGACTAAGACAGCAGTCCACCAGCATGGGGCCAAATAAAGAAACTGACGAATGAAGCTGAGAGACTGGTTCTCAACCAAGGACTTCAACCTTCTCCTTTTACTCTTTTTGTTGCTATACTTGCCATTTTAGCTTGTCAGGCAAAATGTGGCAAACCGGGTACTTCTTATTGGGCTTATTTACCTAACCCTCCTTCCTTTCAACGGGTAACTTGGGAGAATGAGGTTATTCCACTTTATACTAACATTCCTTCTTTGATGGGAGGAACTCAGTCTCCTATTCAATTGGGACAGGCTGTTAATACTAAAAACTTCTCCTTTTATGGAGTTTCAAGTTCTGTTCCTATCTGCTTTGTTATCCCCAATACTATAAAGGATGAGGCTCCCTCCATTAATGGTTGTGCTCCAACATCTTATAAGGGGTTGTTGACAGATTCTCCTAATTATGTAGCTGCAGACAAAAGATTCCTATGGTCTCTAATTTTGCTTTTACCTGGAGACTCTTCTCCTAAAATGTTTACTCCTAAAGATTATCAGAAAGCCCTCCCTGTTTGTGCAGCATCTCCTCCAGACACTAATGAGGAATGGGCCTTTGTTAACCCTAAAATAGGCTTCCCAAAATGGAGATATTATGCTTATAAAAAGGAGATTCATATTGTTATTCCTGGAACATATTTAACTGTAATTGATAGAAGTTGTGCAGATTCTTCTGTAGATTATAGGTTTTTCTTGGAATCAACTAATGTTAGATACTCTTGGAAAAATGAATATATCCCTCGCCACATGCCAATTAATAGATGGCATATTAATGGATGGGTACCAAGCATCTTGACTATTTCTACAAAAAAAGGCAGGATATTTTCAATCTGAAATATGGCGTGTGATTGCTGCCACAAAACTGGTTAACACTGTGCAGACCGGAAAATCAGAGCAGATATCAGGTACAGGCTTGCTTACAGTCTCCATATGCATCTTTAATTTCCAGAGATTATAATTCCTTAAATATCTCTGAGTATGCTGACAAATATCATGTATCTTGTATCCGCTGTAATCTTACAAATTGTGTTTCCCTTTAACAAATGTAAAAACACTGATGATTGTTCAGCGACCCCCATATTTAATGGTTCCTGTCACTCTAAATACTACATGGTTTGATAGTTATGGTTTGCAAGCTTTGCAGGATGTAAATGCACTTCTTGTTTGTGGTTGTCGCTTTGTAGCTCCTCTTATTCTTGGAATTACAGCATTTATAGCTTTAGCAACTTCCCTTTCGCTTTCTGCTATAGCCTTATCTCAAGAAATTCACACAGCAACTTTTACTGATCAATTACCAAAAAATGTATCCATGGCTTTACCTACACAAGAAATTATAGATAGAAAACTAACCTCTAAGGTTAATGCTTTAGAAGAAGCTGTTCCCATGATTGGTCAGGAACAGACCTCTTTTAAGGTTCGCCTTGCCTTGAGATGTCATATTGATTTTCATTGGATTTGTGTAATGCCCCTAAAAGTTAACGAATCTTTGTATTCTTGGGAGAGAGTTAAAAATCATATCCTAGGGGCGCCTGGGTGGCGCAGTCGGTTAAGCGTCCGACTTCAGCCAGGTCACGATCTCGCGGTCCGGGAGTTCGAGCCCCGCGTCAGGCTCTGGGCGGATGGCTCGGAGCCTGGAGCCTGTTTCCGATTCTGTGTCTCCCTCTCTCTCTGCCCCTCCCCCGTTCATGCTCTGTCTCTCTCTGTCGCAAAAATAAATAAACGTTGGAAAAAAAATAAATAAAAAATAAAAAATAAAAATCATATCCTAGGTATCTGGAATCACTCAGATTTAAATTTTGATTTAAATTCTTTACATAAAGATATTCGTGAGATTAGTCAAGCTGAGGCTGAGTTTTCTGCCTGACAAATATCAAACACATTTTTTTCAAAATTTATCCTCTTATGTCTCTCATAAAAGCTTTTTTACCACTATGATTAAAGTGGCTTTGATTGGAGGATTGATAATTCTTCTTCTGCTTCCAGTCATCGTCAGACTGTTGAGGGGTGGTATCCAGGGGCTGGCAATGGAACTTCATGCCATTAAATTAAAAAATAAAAAGGGGGAGATTCTGGAAGCCGAGCTATCCCAGCCTAAGTGGCAAAGCCTGGGCTGTGGACGGATTGGTGACTGCAAGGCGGCCCACCGACAGTGAAGCTTCTTGCACTCCTGCTTTTAGGTAATTCGGCCTTAAAACAACCTGGGGTATTGTCTGTTGGGGAATTGCCCTCGGCAGGCCCCCTGGGAAAAGAACCATTAGGAAAGAAAATAAGGTTCCGCAAGGGCCTTACGTTTAGCCCTTGCCATCCCCTATGGAGACTCCTCTACTTACAGGAAGGATAGCCTCATGCATTTGCTAGCAAAGAGGGCCTGTAAAGGAGAGACATAAGGATTTGAAAGCCTCACTCCGGCAACTAAGGAGTGTATCTCTGGGCACAGGTGATTTCAACCCATAGCCCCACCTGGCCCTCCGGAGGCATTCCAGATGATGACTGAACCTAGTCGGTTAAGGTACAGAATGGTTCATTGGTTCCTAGGTGCATTGTCTCTCTGAGAATGTATGAGGCATGGGTTTCTAAGGCCTTTTCAGCCCCTTCCTGGCACCTCGGACCGAGGCAAACACATTGTTCTTCTGGCCCCGTGTGGTTGGGAGGTCATGTCCCTGTAACTGTTCCACTTGAGGTGTTTCATGCGAACAGCAAAGCAAATGCTTCATAGACTGTAGGTAATTATAGATAAACGCAGATGCATAATGGGATAGTGTAAGAAATTAATCAATAATCAAAGGGTGTGTGGGAACATTACGGGAAAATCGCCATGTTATTTCTTAAAGGTTGATTACACATAGGAACGTTTTTAAAATTAGGTAATGTTAGAAAAACGTAGATGATGTATGCTACAAGGAAATCACTAGCAAATATAATGCCACGTTTGCTACAATAAATCAGCCAGTTCAACACACTGCTGTTGTCTGTGTCCATTTTTATTTTAGTTTTTTATTTTTAGTTTTTTTTTTATTTTAGTTTTGTTTTATTTTCACCGACACTGTTCTTCCTTCGGGATCCCCTGGTTGCTGGAGCTGGTCTCCAGCAGAAACACTGAAAGCCTCTCCCTGAAGCTGAGAGTAAAGGAAGGATGCCTGCTATTATCATTTTTTTCAACAATGTACTAGAGTTCTATGACATAAGGATAAAACAATGAGTCAACCAATGAACCAAAACAAAATAAAAAATATAAGCAATGAAAAAGAAGTAGTAATTCTATTCTTATTTGCAGATGACTTGATGATATAGGTGTATGGTAAATATTCAAAAGAAAGTTCAAATTAGAAAAAAATAAATGTCTGTTTTCTGGAAAGAAGTTCAATATACAAAAATCAATTGTATTTCTATATGCCAGCAACAAGTATAACACGAAATTTACGAATAGAATAATACCATTTACAATAGGACGAAGTAAATCAAATACAGTTGATCCTTGAACAACACAGGTTAGAACTGCACAGGTTCACTTACAGATTTTTTACGGTACTGTAAGTGTATTTTCTCTTATTTAAAATTTTCTAAATAATATTTTCTTTTCTCTAGCTTACTTTATTGTAAGAATAAGATATGTAATACAAATACAAAATATGTGTTAACTGTTTATGTTATTGGTAAGGCTTCCAGTCATCAGTAGGCTATTAGTAGTTAAGTTTTGGGGGAGTCAAGTTATATGCAGATTTTTGACTGCATGGGGTGGTGTGGGATCAGCATCCCTAAGCCCCTTTTTGTTCAAGGGCCAACTGTATATGAGTTTAATGCTATACATTTTTTTCTAAGCACTGCTTCACATGAGTTTTGAGATGTTGTGGTTTTGTTTTCATTTAGTTCCAAAATATTTCAAAATTTCTTTTGAGATTTCTCTTTGACAAATGTTATTTAGAAGTATGTTATTTAACCTCCACATTATGGGATTCCCAGTTACCTTTCTAGTATTGCTATTTCTAGTTTAATTCCATTATGGTCTAAGAGTTGACATTGTATGATTTCTATTCTTTTGAATTTGTCAGGGTGTGTTTTGTGATTCAGAATGTGGTCCCCCTTGATGAATATTCCATGTGCTCTTGAGAAGAATATGTATTCTATTGTTGGATGAAGTAGTCTATAGGTGTCAATTATATCCAGTTGATTGATGGTGTTAAGATCAACTGTGCTGTTCCTGATTTTCTGGCTGCTGGATCTGTCCATTTCTGATATAGGTGTGTTTCTGTATATGTGTCAGACTATGGTGATGGATTCATCTATTTCTCCTTGGAGTTCTATTGCTTTTTGCCTCAAGTAGTTTGACACTATAGTGAGGCATACACATTAAGGATTGTTATGTCCCTTCAAAGGAATTATGTATTTCTATTTTAGTGTTTGGTTTTGTTTTATCTCTAACATTTCTTTTTTTTTTGTAGTATTTCCATCTCTGCTTACATTTCCCATCTTTTCTTGCATGCCCTCTACTTTATCCATTAAAGCTATCAGCTTTAACCATAGCTATTAATCATAGTTGTTTTAAATTCCTGGTATAATAATTCCAACATCCCTGCCGTGTCTGGTTCTGATGCTTATTCTGTGTCTTCAAATTGAGGGTTTTTCTGTTTTGTTTTGTTTTGTTTTTTCCTTTTGGTATGTCCTGTAAATTTTCCCTGATAACTGGACATGATATACCAGGTAAATGAGCTGCTATAAACAGAACTTTAGTGATGTGGTGGTAAGGTGTAGGGAGAAGAAAAGTGTTCTATAGACTGAAGATTAAGTGTAATCTTTTAGTGTGCCTATGCCTCTGCCCTATGAACTTCACAAGTGTTTTCTCAGTTTTTTTTTCCCCGTGTTCCCAGGAAGGCAGAATGGTCTGAGGTTGGGTATTTCCCTTTCCCAGGTCAGTTAGGTTCTGCTAATACCCCAACAGGTTAGGTTTTGATTAACTAGTTGTCCCCACTGTCAGGCCTTTTAAGAACTATAGAGTACTCCAGAATATTTGTTTTCCCTCTCCCTGCCAGAAACCCAAAGGGATTTTTTTCTTTGATATATATTGTGGGAATCTGTTTGAATTTCTGCAAGTAAATTTCACAATACTATGGGGGTCCCTCTGTAACTGGACCCCTCTGTTGTTTTTAACTCTCAGAGTTATCCATACCAAATCTCCAACAACTCCAACTGTCAGTTACAGTTCAGGTTTTCCCATCCCAGCCCTGGTTCCCATGATGTTTTCTGCTCTTGAGTCTTGACTCCGTTAAGTCAAGACTCACTGTATTCTCTATCTTTCCAATATTTGGGGCAGTTGTTTGCTCTGTGTCCTCCTCTATATTATGGATCCAAAATGAGTTGTTGATTTCAAAGTCTGTTAAGCTTTATACTTATTATTAGGATGGAATGGCAACCTCCAAGCTCCTTACATGCAGAATTGCAATATCCGGTATACAGAGAGAACTCACACATATCCATAAAAAAAAAAAAAAAAAGATAAATAACCCAATAGAAAAAGTAAGCTAGATATATGAACAGAATTCTCAGAAGAGGAAGCCCAGAATGAGAATGAGAATCATTCTCACTGGCAATTAGGGAAATTTAAACGTAAACCATAATGAATACAATTCATTTACATCAGAATGATGGCAATACTAGTTATATTAAAATGGATACCTTGTGAAAAATCATTTGACAGAAACTTCTGCCTCGTTATAGCCGATGTCAAACTGTGGAAGAAGAAGCCAGTATAATGGATCGGTCAAACACAGATTTAGGATTATCCCTCTTTACCACAAACCTGTTTCTTGGCTGTACCTTCTAGGTGACCAATCTAAGACTAGGCTGTTATTTTTTTCTAAATAGTCAAGTCAAGGAAGTTTGTGATTCCCTGGATGACTCCTCTCTTGAAACCATAGAAAAATGGTAGTCATTAGTACTAGTCAGACAAGTTTCATCATACTTGTTCTGTACATTTCACACAGCCCATAAAAACAAACCAATCAACACTGAATGTAGCACATAAGCCTGTGAAACATTGATCACCTTAAAAGCTACTCTTAAGAGGTCATTTTAATTATCACTATCATCGTTGTCACCATCATCATCACCACCACCATTGTCCCTGACACCACCACAACAATCAGAATATTATGTACAGGTAAATGGGATTTTATCTGGGAGGTAAGTTACAAACCCTAGCAAGTTGCTAGAGTATCTTCTAGCTTTTTAAAAACTGGTTGCTTTCTATAAGTTAGATTTTTATTTCTAGACACTGCTAAAAAACATGCTACTGTTTTTGAGGTTTAAAGGCTCTGCAAAGTCTCTGGGAAAGTTTTACAAAGTTGGAATAAAAGAATCCAGTTTTAGCAAAATTTTGCTTACTTTTTTTTATAAGAACCCTACCATTTTTGTTCTTTAGTAATGTAACTGAAATCGTATCTTCTAATATGAAAATGTTTCCTGGGAAATAATTTAAAAATATAAATTCCATCATGGATTTTTGGAATAATGTACTTTGTAACTTAGGTCCTGAATTGGCAGCAGGCAGACTGCAGAGGGGCTCAGAACTTCATAGATTTTGAAATGAATTCCCTTCCGTAGGCTCTCTGCTTTTCTAGAATTTAGGGGAAAGTTAGAGGTGGAGATCATTCAACTCATTTGATCATTAATTTCCCTGTTCCTTATTCACAACTCTTTCCCTAACAACTTAAAGTCCTCTGGGGGGGGGGGGAAGGTTTATCTTTATAAAATTTGGGGAATTTCTCACTGGAATCTTGCTTTTTAACACGCTGTTCACTGTATAACAGAATTCAGGTGCATCTAATTCAAATGGTTTGTAAATGAAGTTCTAATAAATGAAAACTATAGTTACATTTATGCTTTGTGGTTTAACAGCTAATGCAATATCAGAATGTAGTTAGAATATAATCTAGGAAATGATTCCTGGTATGGACTGTGGGGATAAATTATAGTGAGACTAATGTTTTAAAATTATGAATCGTGTAGTTACCATTATTTTTATCGACATTATTATTGTAACTGATTAAGGTGAACAGTTGATTATACCAGAATAATGATGAGCCCTAACTTGAATTAGATTCAATACTAAAATGAGGCAGTTATAGTTTAATTATGTACATACAGTTGGTTAAATTCATTGTAGATTAATTTTTAACCGATTCTCTTTGTTAAATGAGTTCATCCTGGAAGGCAGGTTTCTGTCTTTAAAAATGGCCAAGGGGCATGTAGGTGGCTCAGGAGATTAAGAATCCAACTCTTGATTTCGGCTCAGGTCATGGTCTCAAGGCTTGTGATTTCCAGCCCTGCTTTGGGCTTTGTGCTGACAGTGTGGAAACTGCTTGGGATTCTCTCTCCCTATCACTCTGCTCCTCCCCACCACCCCCACCTGTTTCTCTCTCTCTCTTGCTCGCTCTCTAAAAATAAATAAAGTTTTTTTTAAAAAATGGCCAAGATTAATTTGGTAAATGAGAAAGTAAGTTGTTTCATGAATGGAACTTTTAAAATATTTAGAACTTTATTTTAATAATTTCAGCTATTATTCAAAAATAATGACCAATTCCTCGAGCCCAACTATCACATTTTCTGGAGGAAAGGTTGAATACATCATACACCACTGTGATCTTTTAAATATAAAAGTATCTCCTTAATTGTTTATGATAGGAAGACATCCATAATGAGGGGGAGAAAAGCATCAGTGCTCTAGTCAACAGTATGTATTCTCTACCACTTCCCAGAGCTTCTAAAAGAAGCTTTCAAAGAAAAATATTTTATAAGCTGTAGCATAGTGATTCTTTGTATAGAAACCATTTCAGCCACTTTAGAGTCACCACTCAGGCTACATAAATGTTTAAGTCCCTCAAACTAATTTGCATGTCTCAGAAAGACGAAGCTACCAGACTAACCTCCACCTGGCTAATCCAAAACAAATTTGAGACCTCAATATCACGGTAAACTTTTCTGGTTATTAAAAGAGACATATTATCAGATATTCATAAGGTTGTAAATATTATTATCAATTACCTTAATTATACTCCTTTTAAGGTGTGATTTATCTAGTGTAAGAAACATAATACCTGAATAGCCTTTTTGCTCTGAGGATGAGATTAAGCAGCAGGATTCCAGAATGAAGGCATGCATGCAATGCATCTGAAATAGGGAGTTCCTTTGCAGAGCTTTGACAAATAATCCCAGTTTTGGGAAGCACTCATTAACAAATCATCAAAGGGGTATCAAGAAGAGGCAGGATTAAGAGTAGAGAACAGGGCAGAGAGGAAATAAGACTGGGTGGAGTTGCATAGTTGTGTCATAAGGTAATTTTTTTTAAGGAACTTCTCTACCGAAAAATAAATTGGTCTTAGAGGAATCAAAACAGAAAGATTCTCATACTCATAAGGAATATCTGCCAATCTGCCACATATATCCCCTGATTACAAACTCCTCTGTTTTGCAAGTTTTGTTTAGGATGATGAACACAAAAGATTGAGGAAAGAGCTGGGGCTATTTTGAAATTTGAAATCAGATTATTATGTGTATGTGTTACAGTACTTCCTCCAAATCAGCAATTTCATGACATCATGTCTTTCAAAGTATATAAAATAACTAGTGTCAAACTTTATATAGATTAGACTAAGGGTAGCCATAAGACCTAATTGTAACCTTGATCACTCTATTAGGGTTATGCCAAGTCACCATATTTTCTGATTATTCTTCATCTAATTGATTGGTTTTAGTGATGAAAGTTGCCTGTTTCTTAATTTATATGATGCAAAGAATCCATGTTTATTATGGAAAGATTAGAAAATATAGTTAGGAAAAAAGTAAACAAAAAAAGAAAATAATCTACCCATAATCTCATAACATGGGACAACTCTAGTTGGCCTCATGATTTTCCTTTCACATTTAATTAAAACTTATAAATGGTTATATTATATATTTATTTTTAAGTCTATATATATTAATGTACATGATGTAACTATAGTTTACAAAAATACAATCAGACCACACTTAATGTTTTGTAAACTGCTTTAGATCAATAAAAAGAGCAATTTAATTTCTCTTTTTGAGGACAAAAACCATGTGTATCTTGCTCACTGCTATATCCCTAGAAGCTAACATAGCTAACAAATCGAATATGATTTGTTAAAGGAATGGACATTAGAGTCTATCTTCTCTGAGATGTTTAAGGTTTCTATGTTTCATACTAACATAAGAGCCTAATTATAAATTGTGTTGTATGAGGTGAGGAGAGCCAGGCAAATTTAGACTATCTAGCCCATCTGATTTGAGCTATTTTCTTCTTTTCATAGGCATAGAATATTCTCCCAGAGAAGATCTTGGCCAGTATGGATGGTGATCCTTTTCTTTCTTGGAGTGACAGCAGTCTTGGGAGTAACTATGGTTTCCTTGTTCATTTTCTGGCAGTGCGTCAGTATTGACTATTTTCCATTTTCACCCTTACTGCTAAATCTCCTTTTACTTTTAGAAATTGATAAGAAATAATATAAATATTAAATTTCTTAATGGAAGTTTTCTCATCTATTAACTATGTTCCAACATAATCATTCTCTATTATTTAATGCCAGTTAAAAATTTTTTTGAATCAAATGCCTCATTGAGCCACTCTGACATATTACCAACTATGAGAGTATGGCAAGACTGAAAAGCTCAATATTTTGATGCCAAGATGCATTGTCAATAAAGGAACATATGTATTAGGTCAGTAGTTGAGCTGTTATGTCTTTTAGTAAATATACCTAAAATTTTGGAAATCCTTATTCTTCTTGGCTCAATTCTGGTTGTTAAGATACAATTGCAAAATAAGAATGGATAATCCACAAATGGCTCATCTAATAGTAGATAGTAGAAGGGGCTGAATGGCTGAATGTTTATGTAAATTTGATCTTATTTAAAAAAAATTAATACTACACTCAGAAAGTTTGGCTTTCCAACTTATTTTTACCTTTCAGAAAAATAAACCCTTAAGTCTGTGTAGCTATTTAATGTTTTCAAATAAATTTGATATCCATTATTCTGCTTGATCCTCATACTAATCCTTTGAGTGAAGGAGGGTAGGTTTTATTATCTCTTTTTTCACATGCAAAAAACCAAGATTAAGAAAAGTCAAACACTTGTTATCATAGACTTTTAAATGTCATAGATGAGCAGAAACCGAAACCTTAATATTTAAGTGTATTATTTTACTTTATCATAAGTTTTTCTTTTTTATTCCTCTGAAATACATTACCCTGTATAGTGTAGGATATGTATCCAGTGTAGGATACATTTTGCCTAATACAGTGAAAATTCTAGTTTTTCCTTCATTCTGGCCTCTCCTTTGTTTTCTCTAACTATCTTGATCTCCAATTTCAAAACTTGTCCTTCAGAAGGGTCATGTATGCTTACAGTCTCTTGCGTGCCATTTCTGTCCTTGAACTCTCTGTAGTCTGGATTCTTCTGCCCTCTGCTTGATTCTCCTCATTAAAGAATAACATCCATTATATAATTTCCTTAAGGAAAGTGCTCTGAGTTTACCAAATCAAGCCCAGTGAAGAAGGCCAGTAGCTTAATTAGTTATCTTTCCAAAATATAATTTGCATTTTAATAAGTCCCTTCTGGAGAAACAATGCATTCATGAACAGGAGACAAAAGGAGAACTGTAGGCATCCTGGCTTAAGCAAGATATGTGTGGGATGAGAATTTGCCCTTGACTTTCTCTGTATGGTGAACCACCTAATATTTCAAATATAAGGCTAGATGGACTTTTATTACCTGAAGTTAATTGAACTGGGCTCCTTGTGAAGTAAAAATGGGTACCCAAACTCTGTTGTAAAGGTCACCTAGAGTCAGCTTAAAAGGCGGGTTTGCTCTCAGATTCTGGCTTAGGAACCAATACAGTCTTTGTTAATACTAAGAACAACTTGAGTTGGATGAGACCTAATCTCTCATTCAAGTGGTATGAAATTCGCTTGTCTGTTGAATATATTGTTTCTCAAGATGTTATTTTGAGTTTCTACTTCTTGAGTTACCTCAGAAATTAATATTCCACAAGGATCATTATTCTAGAAATGACTCTGGTTCAGCCCTTTCTTAACTATTTTATTTAACTACTATTTAAACTATTTCCAAAAGCTTACACAGACATTTACAAATTAAAAAGTCCTTCAGATTGTTTATCTAGCAGTGCTAAGCCCTGGCTTTGTCTCAGAATCACGTGTAGAGCTCTTCTAAAGAAGTATCCATTCCTTGGGCCCTTCCCTTATGTTTTATGATTCAGTGGAACTGAGGCAGGACCTGCCCATGTGTGCCTTTAGGAGCTCTGTATTTATTCTGGTAGTGTTATTCTGATAGACAGTGTTGCAATCTATGCATCTAAGGCAATGTTTTATAAAGGTAATAACATTTATTTCTATCTTAAAATAAAAGATTTTATTATAAACTTTGGGATGGGCTCAGATTATAATGTAAATACTGACTATTGCTATGCCTGTAACACTGACTATGATTTTATAGGCCACAGTGTAAGGTACAGGGTAGATTCCCATTCAAGTTGTCTAAATAATTGTATTATTCAGCTCAGGCTGCCATAACAGAATACCAGAGACTGAGTGGCTTAAACAACAGATATTCATTTTCTTGCAGTTTGGAGGCCAAGATCAGAGTGCCAGCATGGTCAATGTTGCCTCACATGCCTTTTTTTCTGTGGCATATGGAGTTGGTGGGTAGTTTGTGGAGAAAGAGAGAGAGAAGAAAGAGTCTCTGGTGTCTCTTCTTATAAGGCTACTAGAATTTGACTTAACCCTATGACCTGATTCATGATCTGATTTAACCTTAATAACCTTGTTAAAGGCCATATCTCTAAATATAGGCGCATTGGGGGTTAGGGCTTCAACATATACATTTTAAGGGGACAATTCAGTTCATAAGGATAATCAAGGGTGGGATGCCTGTGTGGCTCAGTTGGTTGAGTGTCAAACACTTGATTTTGGCTCAGGTCACGATCCCAGGGTCACATTGGCCTCTGTGCTGCACATAGAGCCTGCTTAAGATTCTCTCTCTCTTTGTCTCTCCCCCCCACCAACCCCGCCTTCTCTTCTACTCGCTCTTTCTTTCTAAAATAAAATAAAATAAAATAAAATAAAATAAAATAAAATAATAAAAATAAAAATAAAAACCAAAGGAAAATAAACTTAAAAATTACACCTCAATGGGGCACCTGGGTGGCTCAGTCGGTTAAGCGTCCGTCAGACCTGAGCTGACTCAGGTCATGATCTTGCTGTCCATGGGTTAGGGCCCCCCATCGGGCTCTGTGCTGACAACTCAGAGCCTGGAGCCTGTTTTGGATTTTGTTTCTCCCTCTCTCTCTGCCCCTTCCCCGTTCATGCTCTGTCTCTGCCTCTGAAAAATGAATAAACCTTAAAAATTTTTTTTTTAAATTGCACCTCAAATCACTCTGATTTTCAGTAATATAACTAGACTCAAGTATCTAAACATCATGGTTTCTTTGAATATGGGCATGATATATGTGACTTTTGACAAATTAATCTGACTACCTGTAAATACCCAAGTTCAGCATACTGGATATAACACAAAATTAGCAGATTCTAGTTGGTTAGTCTTCTATTTGATGAAAGACTTCATAGATTAAAATCATGAAGTGGTATGAAAGAGGATCTTGGAGTTTATTTATTGCAATTTAGTCTTTGTGATTAGTGAAAAAAATCCCAGAAAGCTGAAGTGATATACCAGTACAGCACAGCCCATTGGTGGCAGAGCTTAAACTAGTTTCTCTAACTTCATATGCATTATTTTTTTCAGAATGACCTTAGCTAACTTCTTAGCTAGAACCTAGCATTTGCTTTTCATATATACCAGTTGCTATAAGGAAAAATATAGGAAACCATTGGAATATAGGAAACTAATTTTTATTTTAGATTGAAATGATATTTCTGATTCCCGGGATAATGCATTATTTCATCTCAGAGATCATATATGTTTCAAAGCCTATTATTATTATTAGCACTCCTTAGAGACTCTATAGTACTTTTTAAGGTGAATCAAAAGTACAATTGCTCTCAAAATATATGAATGGATAATTGCTTAACCAAAACAGAGTACCATTTCATATGAATTTCTATTTTTAAAAGTACATGCATAATGTAGAAGAACTACTTCTAGGCTTGTCCTATTTTAACATTACAGTGGCCCTAGTATATTAGGTGAGACATTTTACATTTGGGGACAGGAAGGAATGGGGAATGTGAGACTTTGTGATGCTCCACCATATATGCTGGAGGGAAGTAGTATGGCAGCAGGAATTCAAGGAATGACTTAAAAGAGTGGAAAGCAGGCAGATAGGAAATGGGGCAGAAGAAAAGTTATAAAAGGGTATAGATCATCCAGAAAGAAAAGGGAAATGTTTGTAATGTTTCCTGTGTCAGAAGTGTTTAGAAAGATTAACTGGGTAATCACTAGATCAAGAATTTAGATTACACATAAAAAGTAGGTTTCATTTCTAGTGTACACTAAAGTGGATTGTTAGTGGCTGCCTGGATTGCCGTTCTGCTGTGGATGCTGAGGGTATACCTGGCTTGGCAGGGCAGTGGTGTCTATTATCATATGAAGAAAGGAGGGGGACCACTTCATGAATACTGGGTAGTTGCTATTTCTAGAATGGGTGGATATTCACGCCTCTTCATTTCCCTCCTCTTCCATTCTCCCTCCCTCTGATAATTTAAAAATCTGGGTCGAATGTTAATTTTGAGACAAAAGTATGGAGGGATTTGAGTCTACCTGTTATTTTTAAATTCTTTGAGTATTTCTTTGTTTCACAGGAAATATTTTCTATTACCAAGGTGATTTTCATATTTCTGGAGTTACACACAATGATAGTTGTGAAAATGGAGCTTCACAAGCCAGCACAGATCTGAACAAAAATATAGAGACTAAGGTAAATCAGAGATTCCTTTTAATAATTTCATAATAAATTTGATTGAAACAGACATGATGGCTATTTTGTTTTTTTCTCTTGACAGATGTCTGATGTTTTTAAAAATTCTAGTATATATAAAGAATATATCAACTCTCAGGTCATCAAACTTCTGTAAGTACAAATTCAGTCAGGATCTTATGGAAAGGGAGGTAGACGATATGTCACATCAACTGTGGTTTTAAATAACAACAATAAAAGGAAAGAAGAAAGAAAGAAAGAAAGAAAGAAAGAGAAAGAAAGGAAGGAAGAAATCTCCATAAATTAAAATATAATTGCAGTTAACAAATTTCTGTTCAGAGTAAGAACTGTTGTGTACAAATCTGTAACCTCCATACTTGAAGGGGAATTATAAGGTTGTTGATAGCAGCCAGTCCTAACTGACTACTATGATGAAAGATCATTGTAACTCTGTGGAAAACAGAGTCCAATCTTATTGTTTTGGTATTCATATACTAGCCTCCTCTTCTCCCATCCATTCCCATCTGGCTATATCTTTACTATAATAACTTTCTTTTGGTCTCTTTAATAATTACTATCACTATAATGACTGTGGAGCAAAGTGAATAATTTAAGATAATACTTGTCTGAATATGTCTTTGAAGTGGTTTGAGTATGGGGGTAGACAGGAGGGATGCAAGGAGGAAGTATCATGGAACACTGGGGGTGAGTGATAAAGAGGGACAGTACTTGTATTTTGGTAATTGCCAATATCCATTCGGGGGGAATTCTGAAGTACCAAAATAAAAAATTCAGCTTGCCAAAAAACCAACCAACTAACCTACTTACCTATAGACAAACAAAAACTTTCAAAGACTCTTCTATTGATCATAATGATTTGAAAATAGAGTTGTGGATATTTTTTTTTAAATGTGATTTGTTTTGAAAGTCTCCAAAAATGAATTAATCTCCTTTCATAATTAATAAAAAGGATGTAATGAATATATAGATAATAGAGATTCTCTCTATGTTTTAGAGTTATCTTTCTGAGCTTTCTCATTGTGCAGTTCTGTTGGGGTAGAGATGTATGAGAAACTATAGGGAGAAGCTTAGTACTGACTCCTGAATATATGCTAGGAGTTATCTTTTGAATGTTTCCTGGTACTGCATTTTTGTTCCCATTTATCTCTTTATCTAAAGTAATTAGAAAATATCTGTACAAGAACATGGTTTTTACTGTTTTAATAAAATCTTACACCAATCATTTGCTGGCCAGTACTCAGTTTCTCATGTGTGTTTGAATTATTCTGATTTCTAGTTTGTAGTTCATATCTTCTTCCATGAATAATACCTTTGAACCAGTTAGAAGATTTTTAGGGACATTTGCACTTTATACATACTGAGATAATATCTGTGTATTGTTCTTTAATATATATGTAAAGGAAATACGATGATTAAATGTGGGAAATTCAATGTGTTAACAAGACATCTTGAAATATCAAGAAACAACACACTAGAACATTTCTGTTGTTTCTTGTCCTGATCCCAATGGTTCAAGGGTACAGTTACAACTGACATTCAAGTTTCCTCCAGCAAAAAGGCACAGCATGAAGACTGAAATTGAAGCTATCTTACATCAGATATTGAAAAACAACATGGCATCCTGGAATGCAGTCCATACTTCCTTTAGACTCATAGGTATTTCACTTATTTCCATTATTTTCTATTACTTAGGTTTTTGGACTGTTTGAAAAAAATATTAGAAAAAATTAATAAGGAGTTTCAGGAATTTGCTTTGGGGAAAAATATACTTCTCACATTTTGGCAATCCTATGAATGAGTTGGAAATGACAGTGGCATAAAATCTTTGAAGAGTGATAGAAAGGAGGACTAAAGTATGGGCATGCATGTGAGCTTGCAAGGTTTCACGTTTATGTTTGAAAAATGGGATGAAGGACTGTAAGCAAAGCATTATTCCTCCCTTCCCTCTACTCTTGTCAGGATCTCATTACAGGAAACAGATTTGGGGCTTAGTTGATCATTCATTGTGGAGACTGCTAGAATAAGAAGGAAGTTGGGGATAGGGAGTTTTCACTGCTCTTGTGGAAGAATGGGAATGATACTATCAAAGAAAAACCAATTGTCTGGAATAATTTCCTAGAAAACAAGGGAAGAAAATGATAGGATTTTGCCCCAGTTCAGAAAATGAAGTCTGTAAATATCTTGAGGGTCCTGAAAAGGTCTTGAAACTCTCATTTGGATTGTTAAAAGGCCTGTTAGGTGATAAGTGTGTGGTTCCAGAACCCAGTTTTGTGGTTCTTCCAGACCGACAGGTGATCCTAGTGTCCTTTAAGGCTATCAAGGCTGACAACTGCCAGTTACAGCTCCTTTACCTCAGAATACCTGTTATCACTGGACCACTTATGAGAACAGAGTTTGAGGCAGAGCTTCTCAAAAGAACAATACAATTCCTCTGTGCGTAGCTATTGGGAAAGAAGTTTGCCTCTCTGTGTCCTAGGGATTTAAAGTGAACACTTGCTAGTGGGTCCTCTTGTAGTTCCCCACCTTTTCTCTGTCTCTCAAGTCTCTTCCCAATAGAAAAGATACTTGAATTTAAGTTAAATTCTCAAAATTTCATAATTCAGTCATGGTAATGAGATGACTCTAAAGAAAAGGATAAGACCGATGAAATATGATTTTAATTGGAAAATTTTTCTTTATAGATAACTTGGAGTAATTCATATGAGAATTATCATAAGGAAATAAATCCAAAGATAATTAATTCCCAGTGTCTTTTTTAGTGAGAACGTCAGCTTGTTATCTCACTAAATATTTTACTGCAACTATCGTAAAATTGAGAACTTTTTTTTTTTTAATTTCCCTTTCCCCTTTCCTTTACTAGCTAGTAGAGATGTGGAGAGATGGTCAAAATATAACAGGTAGGAGGTAGAGGGGCTGATAGCTAATATGTGAATTAGTCTGAATAGTTAAATGTTGGGTGTAATTGGGCTAGAAAAGTTAGCACGTATGTCCTTGGATTGAAGATAATTTCTTGGTGATATTTTATTAATTTTATGTTTTGTTTTAATTTCAGAAATCAGCAAGGCTAATGTTGAAATGCTTACCAACAACTGTAAGTTAAGAAATTATGACAAACTTATTCACAAATATTTCCCTATCACTTTCCTAAAAAGTATCTTGAAATATGTAATATGGAAATCTATAGTAGTCTTTCAAAATTATTGGCTATATCAGATATATATCTGGAATTGCTTTTTGAAAAACACTGGCCTGTGAATTTTAACTTTTGTAAGAGTTGTCCAAAAGGATGAAATAAGAGCAGTTTCCAAAGAATGGAATCATTAATGAAGAATATCATATCTGAGTAAGTTAAAATAAAAAAGATTGAAGGGAAAAAGGACAACGAAGGATAATAAGAAAATATAAAAGTAGGCTATCCCAAATACATTTATTATAGAGTAAAAATAGTTTTGTATCTTCTAAATAAATTCTCTTTAGAGTATCATGTTGTCCACAAGATGCATACATGCATTCTTTTACTTAATGGATATTTATGGTGTATCTATTATCCACATGGGGCTTTACAGACAGCACTGCATATGCTATGCAAGATGCAGGCATACAGAAGTAAAGTCTTTACCTTCAAGAATTTTGCAATCTACTTGGAGAGATGAGACTTACAACAAATAGATAAAATAACAGTCATTGGAAGATGATTGAGAGTGAAAAAGAGGATAAGTAAAAGTCACCCAAGCCAAGATAGAGTCAGGTACCGTGATCACAGTACATTCCAGGAAAGAGGTAGCATTGCTTAGGAGACTCTGGACAATCACTGAAGGGTTTCAAGTATTGTTTTAAGATGTATTTCTTGTAAAGCATAATCAAAGATGGCTGCTTTTATATAAATACATCCTTTCTTCAGGTTGTGGAAGACCAGCCAACAGTATCATGGCAGGCAACCAAATTGTGAATGGGAAGAATGCCCTGGTGGGGGCATGGCCATGACAAGCCAGCATGAAATGGAAAGGCCAGCACTTCTGTGGGGCATCTCTGATCAGTAGCAGGTGGCTATTATCTGCAGCTCACTGCTTTGCTGAGTAAGTGTGAACATCTGACTAAATGTAGGATTTGGGGTAAACTGTGGGGATTAACCTAAATACATGAATGTTCACCAAAGCCAAGTGAAATTTATAATTAACCTGAATAACCAAAGAGCAGCAGAGGCATTTAAATTTGTCAAAGAGGAAAGAGTGAGAGGAAGTAATTCACATTTTCCAAAAAGCTACTTTGGCCTGACATTAAGTGCTTTATTTACATCATTTTATTCAATTGTAACAATAGTTCTGTATGGAAGTTATAATTTAACCTATCTAACGATGAGGAAAGTAGGGTTCAGAAATGGTGATGTAACTTGGCAAAGTTCATACAGCTCCTAAATAACAGAAATTGAATGTAAGCCCAGCTATGTCTGACTCCAGTTATTATGTGCTTATTTTTCTTGCCCTCCAGAGGTTTACTACCTAACTGAAAATATTTAAATGTGATATGTTAAAAGTAGTAGGCAGTATCGTGCAGTAAATGTCACATATACAACAAGATAGTAAGTTCTATGAAAATTTGATGAAGAAAGGAGCATTCCAGCTGAGGTATGAAAGTGTAAGATTTGACCAGGAATCTAAAGATATAAGATATGATTGATACAGTGGGTAGATGGGAAAGAATAATATGTATTTTGGGTTGGGGAAACCACTTTCTTTCAGATGTGTTGAGATAGAATAACATAATTTGCATTCTGTGGACAGCAAACAGAGCAAATTTGAAGTAAAGAAACTTTGTTAAAAGAAACATTAGAGGTTTACCTGGGTGGCTCATTAAGTGTCTGACTTTGGCTCAAGTCATGATCTCACAGTTGTGAGTTCAAGCCCCGTGTTGGGCTCTGTGCTGACAGGTCAGAGCTTGGAGCCTGCTTCGGATTCTGTCTCCCTTGCTCTCTGCCCCTCCCCCACTGACTCTCTCTCTCTCTCAAAAATAAATAAACGTTATCCGACTTCAGCCAGGTCACGATCTCGCGGTCCGTGAGTTCGAGCCCCGCGTCGGGCTCTGGGCTGATGGCTCGGAGCCTGGAGCCTGTTTCCGATTCTGTGTCTCCCTCTCTCTCTGCCCCTCCCCCGTTCATGCTCTGTCTCTCTCTGTCCCAAAAATAAATAAACGTTGAAAAAAAAATAAATAAACGTTAAAAAACAGAAAACATTAGGGAGGAGCCAAGATGGCAGAACAGCATGGAAGCTGTTTGTGTGTCTCACATCCATGAAATACAGCCAGACCAACACTAAACCATTCTACACACCTAGAAAACCGATTGGAAGATTAACAAAACAATCTGCACAACCTGAACCACAGAATTCAGCAGGTACGTGACACGAAGAGCTGAACTTGGGGAGCAAGAAGCCCCAAAAGGTAGGGAACCCCTCTAGTGGTAGGAGAGAGGATGGAGACTGGGGGGGGGGAGCATACGGGAAAAGCACCCCTCCCCAAAAGCAGCTGGAGAGAAAGTGGAAAATTGGAAACAGTCGCAGGCACTAAACTAAGAAGGGAGAAAGGAGAAAGGAGAAAGGAGAGAGTTTCAATTTCACTAAGACTGTAAACAAGGGGAGTGCAAAGGCTGCAACTCAGCAGCTTGATACCTGGTGGTGCTCTGGTGGGAAGGCTGAATCCCCAGGAACAGAGTGGGGTCTGGGAGGTTCTCGGGCCACACGGGGAAAAGCGGTTCCATGGCTGGAAGGACATTTGGTAGAGACTGTTGAAGTCATCTGGTCCCAGCAGACCCCAGAAGGCAGCCACATTCGCTGGTGCTAGGGTAAGGTTGTTGAGGGTGAAGCCTGGTGTCAGATGTGTGTTGCGATTTTCCATGGTCCCGGAAAATCTGAGGCTACACTGTCTCGCGATTTTTTGGGGGGGCGGGCTGGCACCTGGCTGCAGTCTCAGGGCACTGGAAACAGCAGGATCCAGCAGGCATTCCTGGGTGCAGTCAACATTCGGCCATTGCTCATTCAGCCATCGCTCGGTGAGCAGAGCCAGTCAAAGCCACAGTCCTTTGAAAGTAAGGGGCTGGGGAAAACAGCTGCATCTGAGACAACTCTTGGGAGAGAGGTATTACCTGGGGCCTGGTCATGGAGCATGGAAAAGCAGGGAGTGGACAAGAGCTGAAGACAGAGGATCGGGCACAACTGCTGATTCGGGAGAACAGACCATGTGGCTGAGTGGCACCATTTTTCACTCCTCCTGCGCATGCGCATGCACATGCGCACCCACGAGCACTGCAACAATCCACTGTGTTGGACTTAACCAACACAGACACAAGCAAGATGTCTGAACCAGAACTTAGAATCGTGATAATACTACTACTAGCTGGGGTTGATAGACTAGATTAGATTAGAATAGATTAGAATCCCTTTCTGCAGAGATAAAAGAAGTAAAAAATAGCCAGAATGAAATTAAAAATGCTATAATTGAGCTGCAATCATGGACGGATGCAGCAGCACCAAGGATGGACAAGGCAGAACAGAGAATCAGCGATAGAGAGGACAAATTTATAGAGAATAATGAAGCAGAGAAAAAGAGGGAGATTAAGGCAAAAGAGCACGATTTAAGAATTAGAGAAATCAGTGACTCACTAAAAAGGAACAACATCAGAATCATAGGGGTCCCAGAAGAGGAAGAGAGAGAAATAGGGGTAGAAGGGTTATGTGAGCAAATCATAGCAGAAAACTTTCCTAACCTGGGGAAAAACACAGACATAAAAATCCAGAAAGCACAGAGAACTCCCATTAGATTAAAATAAAACTGACCATCAACAAGGCATATCATAGTCAAATTCACAAAATACTCAGGCAAGGAAAAAATCAGGAAAGCAGCAAGGGGAAAAAAGTCCCTAACCTACAAGGGAAGACAGATCAGGTTTGCAGCAGCCCTATCCATAGAAAACTGGCAGGCCAGAAAGGAGTGGCAGGATATATTCAGTGTGCTGAATCAGAAAAATATGCAGCCAAGAATTCTTTATCCATTCAAAATAGAAGGAGAGATAAAAAGTTTCCCAGACAAACAAAAATTAAAGGAGTTTCTGACCACTAAACCAGCCCTGCAAGAAATATTAAGGAGGACTCTCTGAGGGGACAAAAGATGAAAAAAAAAAAATATATATATATATAAACCAAAAGCAACAAAAGATTAGAAGGGACCAGAAACTCTATCTCTACAAGCATCATAATGGCAATAAATTCATATCTTTCAGTACTCACTCTAGACGTTAATGGATGGACTCAATGCTCCAATCAGAAGACATAGGGTAACACAATGGATAAGAAAACAAGACCCATCTATATGCTGTTTACAACAGACCCACTTTAGACCCAAAGACACCTACAGATTGAAAATAAGGGCATGGAGAACCATCTATCATGCTAATGATCAACAAAAGAAAGCCAGAGTAGCCATACTTATATCAGACAATCTAGACTTTAAAATAAAGATGGTATCAAGAGATGCAGAAGGGCATTATATCATAATCAAGGGGTCTATCCACCAAGAAGACCTAACAATTGTAAACATTTATGTGCCAAATGTGAGAGCACCCAAATATATAAATCAATTAATCACAAACATAGAGAAACTCATCAATAGTAATACCATAATAGTAGGAGACTTCAACACCCCACTCACAGCAATTGATAGATCATCTAATCAAAAAATCAACAAGGAAACAATGGCTTTGGATGACACACTGGACCAGATGGACTTAACAGATATATTCAGAACATTTCATCCTAAAGCAGCATAATATACATTCTTCTACAGTGCACATAGAACGTTCTCCAGAATAGACCATATACTGGGACACAAATCAGCCCTCAGCAAGTACAAAAAGATCGAGATCATACCATGATATTTTCTGACCACAACGCCCTGAAATTTGAAATCAACAACAAGAAAAAATTTGGAAAGATAACAAATACTTGGAGACTGAAGAACATCCTACTAAAGAATGAATGGGCTAACCAAGCAGTTAAAGAAGAAATTAAAAAGTATATGGAAGCCAATGAAAATGATAGCACCACAACCCACATCCTCAGGGATGCAGCAAATGTGGTCATAAGAGGAAAGTATATACCAATCCAGGCCTTCCTAAAGAAGGAAGAAAGATCTCAGATACACAACCTAACCTTATGCCTTAAGGAGCTGGAAAAAGAACAGCAAATAAAAGCCAAAACCAGCAGAAGACAGGATATAATAAAGATTAGAGCAGAAATTAATGCTATCGAAACCAAAAAAAGAAAAAAAACCAGTAGAACAGATCAATGTAACCAGAAGCTAGTTCTTTGAAAGAATTAACAAAATTGATAAACAATTAGCCAGTTAGATCAAAGAAAAAGGAAAGGACCCAAATAATTAAAATCAAGAATGAAAGAGGAGAAATCACAACCAACACAGCAGAAATACAAACAATAATAAGAGAATATTATGAGCAATTATATGCCAACAAAATGGGCAATCTGGAAGAAATGGAAAAATTCCTAGAAACAGATACACTACCAAAACTGAAACAGGAAGAAATAGAAAATTTGAGCAGACCCATAATCAGTAAGGAAATCGAATTAGTAATCAAAAATCTGCCAAAAACAAGAGTCCAGGGCCAGATGGCTTTCCAGGGGAATTCTACCAAAGATTTAAGGGAGAGTTAACACCTATTCTCTTGAAACTGTTCCAAAAAATAGAAATGGAAGGAAAAATTCCAAACTCTTGCTATAAGGCCAGCATTACCTTGATTCCAAAACCAGATGGAGACCCCACTAAAAAGGAGAACTATAGACCAATTTCCCTGATGAACATGGATGCAAAAATCCTCAACAAGATATTAGCCAACCAGATCCAAAAATACATTAAAAAATTATTCACCACGACCAAGTGGGATTTATACCTGGGATGCAGGGCTGGTTCAATATCCACAAAACAATCAATGTGATTCATCACATCAATAAAAGAAAGGACAAGAACCATATGATCCTCTCAATAGCTGCAGAGAAAGCATTTGACAAAATACAGCATCCTTTCTTGATAAAAACCCTCAAGAAAGTAGGGATAGAAGGAGCATACCTCCAGATCATAAAAGCCATATATGAACGACCCAACACTAATATCATCCTCAATGGGGAAAAACTGAGAGCTTTCCCCTAAGGTCAGGAACAAGACAGGGATGTCCACTCTTGCCACTGTTATTCAACATGGTATTGGAAGTCTTAGCCTCTGCAATCAGACAATACAAAGAAATAAAAGGCATCCAAATCGGCCAGGAGGAGGTCAACCTTTCACTCTTTGCAGATGACATGATACTCTATATGTAAAACCCAAAAGATTCTACCAAAAAACTGCTAGAACTTATTCATGAATTCAGAAAAGTTACAGGATATAAAATCAATGCACAGAAATCGGTTGCATTCCTATACACCAACAATGAAGCAACAGAAAGAGAAATCAAGGAATTGATCCTATTTACAGTTGCACCAAAACCCATAAAATACCTAGGAATAAATCTAAACAAAGAGGTAAAAAATCTATACACTGACAACTATAGAAAGCTGATGAAAGAAATTGAAGAAGACACAAAGAAATGGAAAAAGATTCCATGCTCCTGGATAGGAAGAACAAATATTGTTAAAATGTTGATACTACCCAAAGCAATCTACATATTCAACGCAATCCCTATGAAAGTAACACCAGAATTCTTCACAGAGCTAGAACAAATAATCCTAAAATTTGTATGGAACCAGAAAAGACCCCGAATAGCCCAAGCAATCTTGAAAAAGAAAACCAAAGCAGGAGGCATCACAATCCCAGACTTCAAGCTATACTACAGAGCTGTAATCATCAAGAGAGTATGGTACTGGCACAAAAACAGGCACTCAGACCAACGAAACAGAATAGAGAACCCAGAAATGGACCCACAAATGTATGGGGAACTAATCTTTGACAAAGCAGGAAAGAATATCCAGTGGAATAAAGACAGTCTCTTCAGCAAGTGGTGCTGGGAAACTGGACAGCGACATGCAGAAGAATGAACCTGGACCACTTTGTTACATAATACACAAAAATAAGCTCAAAGTGGATGAAAGACCTGAATGCAAGACAGGAAGCAATCAAAATCCTCGAGGAGAAAGCAGGCAAAACCTCTTTGATCTTGCCCACAGCAATTTCTCACTCAACACATCACTGGAGGCAAGGGAAACAAAAGCAAAAATGAACTACTGGGACCTCATCAAAATAAAAAGCTTCTGCACAGCGAAGGAAACAATCAGCAAAACTAAAAGGCAACTGACAGAATGGGAGAAGATATTTGCAAATGACGTATCAGATAAAGGGTTAGTATCCAAAATCTACAAAGAACTTATCAAACTCAACACCCAAAAAACAAATAATCCAGTGAAGAAATGGGCAAAACACATGAATAGACACTTCTCCAAAGAAGACATCCAGATGGCCAACAGACACTTGAAAACATGCTCAACATCACTCATCATCAGGGAAATACAAATCAAAACCACAATGAGATACCACCTCACACCTGTCAGAATGGCTAACATTAACAACTCAGGCAAAAACAGATGTTGGTGAGGATGCAGAGAAAGAGGATCTCTTTTGCATTGTTGGTGGGAATGCAAGCTTGTGCAGCCACTCTGGAAAACAGTATGGAGGTTTCTCAAAAACCTAAAAAGAGACCTACCCTACCACCCAGCAATTGCACTACTAGACATTTATCCATGGGATACAGGTGTGCTGTTTCGAAGGGACACATGCCCCCCCATGTTTATAGCAGCACTATCAACAATAGCCAACGTATGGAAAGAGCCGAAATGTCCACTTATGGATGAATGGATAAAGAAGAGGTGGTATATATATACAATGGAGTATTACTCGGCAATCAAAAATAATGAAATCTTGCCATTTGCAACTACGTGGATAGAACTGGAGGGTGTTATGCTAAGTGATATTAGTCAGAGAAAGACACAAATCATATGACTTCACTCATATGAGGACTTTAAGAGACAAACAGATGAACATAAAGGAAGGGAAGCAAAAATAATATAAAAACAGGGAGGGGGACAAAACAGAAGAGACTCATAAATATGGAGAACAAACTGAGGGTTGCTGGAGGGTTTGTGGGGGGGGATGGGCAAAGTGGGTAATGGGCATTAAGGAATCTACTGAAGTCATGGCTTCACTATATCCTAACTAATTTGGATGTATATTTTAAAAAATAAAAAATAAAGTTAAATCAAAAGAAAGAAAACATTATTAGAAAATATATTCAGAACATTTGTTATATTGATTGGGCATGTCTTTAATTGACAAGATGCTTACTTCCTGAAGATCTCTTTTACAAAGCATGTTTGCAGGATTTGTGTTTCTGAAGCAATTTTCAAACAGTAGTCCATGGATCGTGAACTACCCAGGGGACTTGTTAAAAGTATAGATCTTTAAGCATCACACCAGACCTTTTAAATATAAATATCAAGAGGTGAAGCCTGAATTAATTCTAAGGGAGTTGAGTTTAAGAAACACATTGAGAGTGTGGAGTCACTGAAGGTTATTGAACGGGAGAAGGATTGAACAATGTCACCATTATATGAAGTTCTTAGAAATTAAAATTAAAAAAGAAAACAGCACCTGACATTTTGAGGGAAAGTGAGAATAGTTAGATAGTATGTTATGTCTTAAATTGAGAAAGAGTTTCAGTGGGGAACTGGATAAATGACCAGAAAATTTAAATTAGAAGTCAAGATGCATTGACTTGGTAAACATAATAGGGTAATTGGGTGAGAACAAGTGGCAATTTTTTATGGACAAAGATGTAGGTTCATGGAATCTGGGTGTTTGGCACTACGTGATTCTGGACCCCATCCATTGAGGCTGCTTCTATGACTCCCACTTAAGTCCAATACTCAGGAACTGGATGGGGCTTTAGTAGCAGAAGACATCGGTGACTCTACTTAGGAGTATTTGCATAAGGCTGACAGCTCTAATTGTCCTTTGAACTATTTTATTTGTAACATCTCCATGTCAAAGACATCTTTAAAAATTAAAATTTGGTGCTTTCTAGTGTTGGTTGGGAGCCTAACGCTTTATAAGATAATGACCACTAGTGAACACTGTTGTCACTCAAAAACTACATATATTTTAATTAAATTGTGTTTTCCAGGAAAAATAATTCAGGAGATTGGACTGTCAACTTTGGAACTATAGTAAATAAACCATATATGACACCAAAAGTCCAAAACATTATTTTTCATGAAAATTACAGCAGAGCTGTGGTTTTTAATGATATTGTCCTTGTACAGCTTGCTGAAGAAGTCTCTTTTTTTTAAATTTTTTTTTAAATTTTTTTTTCAACGTTTATTTATTTTTTGGGACAGAGAGAGACAGAGCATGAACGGGGGAGGGGCAGAGAGAGAGGGAGACACAGAATCGGAAACAGGCTCCAGGCTCTAAGCCATCAGTCCAGAGCCTGACGCGGGGCTGGAACTCCCGGACCGTGAGATCGTGACCTGGCTGAAGTCGGACGCTTAACCGACTGCGCCACCCACGAGCCCCTTTAAATTTTTTTTTAATGCTCATTTATTTCTGAGACAGAGAGAGACAGAGCATGAGTGGGGGAGGGGTAGAGAAAGAGGGAGACACAGAATCCGAATCAGGCTCCAGGTTCAGAGCTGTCAGCATGGAGCCCGACGTGGGGATTGAACTCACAAACCGTGAGATTGTGACCTGGGCCAAAGTTGGCTGCTCAACCAACTGAGCCACCCAGGAGCCCTTGAAGAAGTCTCTTTTACAAAGTAGGTTCACAGGATTTGTCTTCCTGAAGCCAAAATGAAGCTTCCGGAAAATGCCAGTGTTGTAGTTACCGGACGGGAACACTTTATGAATGGTAAGTTTTTCTGTAAAAGGGTAATAGCTTCATGGGAATAATTATTTAAGCAGTCAATCAGTTAGCCAATCAACCACTCTCTCATGCAATTAATCAGTCACTAAATATATCAAACAAACAAACAAGTGTTGGGACCAAAAACTTGGCATTGTCTTCAATTCCTAAAATGCCTCTGGGAATAAGAAGTGGAAAAATTGGAATTATGTGTGAGGTAGCCAGTTACAATAAACACCAGAAAGGGAGAAATCTACCCTCGGATTGGCCTGGTTCTTGCTGACCAAAAAAAAAAAAAAGAATATTCTATAGATATTCTTTGTCTCTACAACCAAGGTTAAGATCCCCATGATACACAGAATTTGTTGCCTTTAGGTCCTCTTCCAGCGATACTTCAAGAAGCCTTTGGGAAGGTTATCGACAACAAAGTTTGCAATCATCCACATTCATTATCTGGTCTGGTTACCAACAAAATGCTATGTGCTGTGTTTAAGTCAGGAAAAGCTGATGCCTGTCAGGTATGTCTAGACATATTATCAAATCATTTTGTCCCAAAGTACTAATTGAATTGAAGTGTTTATCAGTACAAATTTCTTTTGTGTGTATTAATGATTTCCATAGATTAGCTTATTTTGATCCACATAACAGATATTTATTAATCCCACTTATATATCAGACACCAGCCTACATGCTGGGGATGTATTGCTGAACAAAATCTCTGCCTTCATGGCAGTCTAGGAATCCATACAAAGGATAATACTTACACGGTGATAAAATAAATTTGGCCCTATTTTCTGGGCCATCTGCACAATGCGCTGCTATCTCTTCCTTATCCAGAAATGTGGCCGGAGGTTTAGCATGTATACACGTCACCCATTTCTCAGGCTTCATTCATGATGAAGCAGCCAAGTCACTTTGTCTTCACAGTCAAGGCTGAACTCATTATAAAGTTCAATTCTGGTCAATCCAACATATGGCAGCTGTAGGCAGTATATTGTGATTTGTAGTTACCCTTGGTTTTGAATAAACCTAAGTTCCACAGTTCTAAGCTCAAAAGAAAGTGGACTGTTTTCAGTACCCAGGGACTTCTGATAAGTCCAGAGAAGCAGTAAAAGGAAATTCTTTGACAGGACAAGAAACATGTCTTCCTATCTTCTTCTAGAATGATTCTGGTGGACTGCTAGCTTACCCTGACTCTAGAAAAGTCTGGCACCTTGTTGGAATAGTAAGCTGGGGTGATGGATGCGCTAAAAAGAATAAGCCAGGTGTTTATACTCCAGTCACTGCTTATCATGATTGGATTACATCCAAGACTGGGCTCTGAAAGAAAAGTAACTTTGGAACGGACCATAAAGACAGCTAGCCGCAGGGTATTCTTATCCGTTGCTTCAAATCTTTTTCACTTTTGATTGTTGATATAAATCACTTTCTTACATTCAAATACCTAAAGTTCTTTAATATTTTATAATATCTAAAATGCTATCCATTCATATATTTATGTATTTAATGAATATAGGGGAAAAAAAGAAATGAGGGCCAAAATATTTTATTAATAGCCTAGTTCAGATTTATCTTACCATTATATTTAGAATTTGCCTTAATTTTTCAGAATTTTTTTAAATGTTTATTTATTTTTGAGAGAGAGCGCCCATGCATGAGCGGGAGAGGGGCAGAGAGAGAGGGTGACAGATGATCTGAAGAGGGTTTTGTGCTGACAGCAGAGTCCAATATGGGGCTTCAACTCATGAACCATGAGATCATGTCCTGAGCTGAAGTCAGCCATTTAACCTACTGAGCCACCCAGGCACACCTATTTATCAGAATTTTGAAAAATACATATTTTGTTATATATGATGGATCTACCAAATAAATTGTTTTTAATTCTGTAAATTATGGAATATGTTAAACTGGAATATGTCAGATAAATAACACATTCATTTCTTATTTATGTATGAAATCGTTTGCGTACCTTGCATAATCATATGATCTTGGAGTGGAGAAGGGATGTGTGAGCTAGAAAACGTTTCTCAATTTATAGATAAGAAAACTGAAGACTAGAGAGGAAAGTTTGCTTGCTTAAAGTCACTCTTCAGCCTCTCCTATAAGTTGTGACCCTCATGTGGTAGAATTTAGATGCAAAATTAGTTGGAAGTTTTAAATGATTTTTAGGTTGCAATTACTTATATAACATTCTCCTCATGTCCTCTTTTTGTCATGTGTTTGTCTTCACTTGGGGCAAAAATAATGTGAGGTCCTCAAGGGCAAGTGACTGTGTGGCATTTATTATAATAAGTCTCTTTATAGTGTATGTGCAAATAAATGTATGGGGGCTGATTTTGTAGTCTCTGCAAATAATTTACTTTTTGTAATTTCCTAAAATAGGTAAAAGCAGCTAAAGTTTTCAAAAGCAGCCAAAACAGTCTAGAAAAAAATACTCCTTCCTTCAATTGTTTGTGATGTTACTCTCTCATTCTTTCTTTATTATAAAGTAGGACTCAAATGACATGATGTCAAACCAAACCATAGCCAGGTGTGACAAGCTGGTGTTTTTCTCTCCCCACTCTCTTCTCAGGCAGGTGACACATATTAACTCTACCCCTTCCCTGCTTCGCCCCTCCCCTCTGGCAACCACCAGTTTGTTCTCTGTATTTGTGAGTCTGTTTTTTAGGTTTGTTTTTGTTTTTTAGGTTTGTTTGTTTTTAGGTTCCACATATAAGTGAAATCATATGGTACTTGTCCTTCTCTGTCTGATTTATGAAATATCTCTTTACTTGGATTCCAGGGGAAAAAAAAAAAAGAGTACTTTTTTGCAATCTTTCTATGTCATCAGCTATTCTTTCTCAGTTTGTACTGCCAGAACTTCTACTAGCTTTTCCCCAGCTCTGAACATTGGTGTGCCCCAGGACTCAATCCTCAGATCTCTCCTCTTCTCCACTTACACTCATACCCTACATCATCATATCCAGTCCAGTATTTTCAATACTAACTGCTTGCTGACAATTTCTAAATGTATTAACTTTAGTTCTGACTTCCCCTTGGATCTTCAGTTGCATGCCTAAAATTTCTACTTGAAGGTCTAATAGACAACTTATATTAGCATTTCAAAACAGAATTCTTCATATTTCCTGAGTCTTCTACATCTAAAAAAGGGAAAAGGTCCTGGAGTCATCCTGGGTAGGAATATATTTGAAATGCTATCCTTTGTAATTTTCCTTATTGGGTTTCATGTAGAACTTACAATTGGATTAGGAAAGGTCTATCCTTATCTTTGGAAATGCCTGGATATGTGGTTTTGACTCTTGGCTAAAATAAGGCCAAAGGATTTGTGTGAGATTAACATGAGGTTTAAAATCAGAAACTGTCGGGGCGCCTGGGTGGCGCAGTGGGTTAGGCGTCCGACTTCAGCCAGGTCACGATCTCGCGGTCCGTGAGTTCGAGCCCCGC